TACTTATAATAAGAGAGAATTTAACATTACAAAAAATCTGAACTTTTTTTTCAAGTAGTCACTGAACCATGAAAATGAGGTCAAGGACATTGGACATGTGACTGACTGAAACTTCGTAACATGAGGCATCCATATACAAAGTATGAAGCATCCAGGTCTTCCATCTTCTAAAATATAAAGCTTTTAAGAAGTTAGCTAACGCCGCCGCCGCCGCCGCCGCCGCCGGATCGCTATCCCTATGTCGAGCTTTCTGCGACAAAAGTCGCAGGCTCGACAAAAACTGATTCAAGTGGCTCAACTAAAAATATCACTGCAAGGCACTAAAACAATTAATATTAAATCGTGGACACAAAGCACTGAAATAAGAGAACTCATAAGTAAGAATATCAAATAAAAGTTTCTCGAAATATTCATATTAAACATGATAAAATAAGCTTATTTTATATTGCTTTTCCTGGAAAAGGAAATAGGAAATTTCAACAAAATGGCTATAAACAAAATGGAGTACAATCATAGATGCACAAGAACACAATTGTGTAAATGCAACAACCTTCATATTCACTGAAGGATTAGGGAGAAATGTAGAAAAAAATAGTATTTTGTTGTCGAAATAAACACCTGCTTTATCCATTCATGTACATCGCTCCGTCATATCAAATATACAGAGGAAGATGTTTGAAGAACAAATTGCAAAAATGTATTCTCTACCAATTGAAGGAAGATGTCCGGTGGATGTAATTATTTATTCACTGAACTGTTATGTAGGGGATTGAATAGTTCTACGCAGTAGCCTAAACAGAAGAAAAGTTAAATTAACATGAAAAGTATTTATTTTATTTAATCTGCAAATATGAGCACAATATTAATAACATCACAAATGGTATGCTATTTATAACGTTTTCCTCATTACTGTATTGTCTTAAACAGCCAAACTATTGTTTTGTATGTCATGTTACTCATCAGTGAAAATTTTATTAAAGTTTTAATCATCTTTTGTATCAATTATTCTGTCTAGGAAAAATTATATTCATACTGTTTGTATTGTTATGAAATTTCCATAGAGGAAAATTAGGGGAAAACATTTCCTTAGGGGGAATTTGGTGTACAGAAATTTCCATAGAGGAAATTTGGAGATCAATATTTTTCTAAGAGGAAAATTGTTGTCTTGAATTTTCCCTCAAGGAAAAATGTTTGTCAAAAAATTCCTCAAAGGAAATTGTAGTTGACAAAATTTCCTCACAGGAAAAAGTATTTCCTCAAAGGAAATATTTAAGCAGCAAATTTCCTAAGGGAAATATTTTTCCCTTGAGGAAGAAACAATTTCCATTGAGGAAAAATCTTTTTCCATTAGGTGCTAGAGCCATTTTTGTTTAAACCAATATCAGGGAACCAATACCAATCAAGTTATCAACTTCATTTTGACCTAACTCCAAAAATTAAGGTGACAACTTTTGCACTCAGAGGAATTGCAAACTTGTCCCGGAGACTGTTTGTATTTTTCTCATCATAATAATCTTTCCTTTCTTTTTTTTATTATATATATATATATATATTTTTTTTTTTAAACTTGACTTACATCTTAAAAACCAAAACAATTTATTTTTGTTTGTTCTATGCTTATTTATGAACAAAACCCCTTGTTAAGACTCTATTAATTTTTTTACTCCTAAATTAATTATTTTCTTATTCTTATCTAAATTTCTGATAATAATCCTCAGAAGTGTTTATGAAAAAAATTTCAATTTTACTTTAATGCTAGTTTTCCTTTTATATTCATTATCTATTTCACTTACATTTTTGTCATTAGTCATGAAGTTCATATGTCTCTCATTTTTTACAAATATCAATCTACCACAACAATACTGTAAATCCCTTAGGGCAAAACATATCAATGTTTTTCTTTAATGTGCTATTTTCTGAAGATACTTCTCTTTATCTATTAACATTGTGTAATTTATGCGTAATCTAACACCAAAAACAACTAGCACCATTCAATTACTTAACATCACTTATGTTAATCCTCCGAAGAAGGGGTTGGAATATAAAATTATAGACTATTTGTTTTCTATAAACAAACGTGCGTAAACACTACCCAACTGCGTAAACCATAATCGTCAATGGCTATAGCATCGCAAACATATGTACCATCAGTATTCATAATTCTGAAATTGACCTATGCATTACAATAACTAACAAAAACTTTGTGTGAACAAACGGCTGATTTTAAGCCTTAAAAAATATGCAGCCAGACTTTAAAATTTACAACTTTACTTAATATGTGTGCCATCTCTTGAAAAGCCATTTCTACTTTTTGCGCTGACATAGAAATATCTTGATTGTCCATAAAGAAAAAAATGAAAGTAACTTAGTTCTTACGTTTTATATTCCTTTGCGTTGTTTTAGCTTGAATCCAAGTCGATCCTGGTCTAAACGGCATCAAAAAAAGACTTATGTAAAGAAGTCTAAGACAATACTAAGTAACTAGAATTTATTATGTATTTACAAAGTTTCCAAAAATAGTTCGAAAGTTCAATTTCATGAATTCTGGTGTCATCGAATTGTCACATGAACACGTGATCGTAAAGCGGTATAATTGTTCGGTCCTGATTAATTCCAGCCTACCCACGAGGGGGAGACCTTGGCGGAATCTTCTGTCGGAATCTGCTGTTCTAGTCTAAAGCTGGATCTTATATAGTTCAGAGGGGTCATCAATCAGCTTTCAACAATGGCCCATAACGGTTGGCAGTTTATAGAGTAGTCTAGCTATTAAATAATACATGTACTACATGTAGCTATAGGTTGGGCAGTTGACAATGCTATTAACATCTGCACAATGCAATTAACGTCGGCAGAATACATGTACGATAAATGTCTGTAAGGTACATGTGCTTGTATCAATTATGTTAGATTTGAATACACCTTGTTAAATATTGTTCTTTCACACATTGTGTTACATACCTTACTAAGTTCAAAAGTACATAACAACCCTTTCTTTGTGCATTATACGCTCAAGAACATACATCTTATTATTTTGCATGGATTGTTAGCAAATGCTACTTTTCAACTGTAGTCCTAAACCAAAACATTGTTTTTTATTCATCTGACAAGCTAAATTTTGGATTAAGTGATCACACAAGTATATATGCTAGGATTTATAATTCGGGTAGTCTGGCTGACTTCGTGCACTAACCCCGCTTCGTATTCATTAGTTTTTACATAAATCATTCAAATTTTAGATCCTTCAGTTTGCATATAAATATCATATTCAAATTTCGTTTCCAAACTTTCTATACCAGAGACGAATGATAACGTATGGCTTAGTACAACATGAATATATACAACATTTTATTTGATGTCACCAATTGTAAAAATGTAAAATGAAACAATAACTTACTATACCAACAAAGACTTTTGTTGTATGTTTATACAAACCGAAACCACTACTACATGAGGGGGTTGACACGCTCAAATTTACAAAATTGTGTTTCAGAGAACCAATGCACCAAATTAATTTTATAGGTTATAGTTTTACATTTAAACCTGTTCAAGGAATGTATTACTGGACAAGAACAATTTAAATGTAGGACAAAATCGGCTTACAACACGAAATTTGTTCAAAGAATAGTACCAAGCATGTGACATAATGACGGGTATGTAACATAGGTATCGCAATTGCAGATGGGTTGGTGGATAGTTGCATTTTGTTTAACGTTCAGTGGCAATTATTTCATGCATATTCAGGACCAAACAAAGATGGGCAGACAACAAAAGCGAAATGGTGACAAATTCATTGTTCAAAATTTATTTCCAATTGGCCCTAAAAAAATTAACAACAATACAGGTTTTAGTATTTTTAATAAAATTGAGAATGGAAATGAAGCATTCAAATGAAATGACATATAAGATAATTTTTACGAATAAAAAAAAAGCAAGTCTGCCCAAAAATGATTGATATTCCAAAAATAGATTTATAGAGTGTTTATAGTAAACTTAAACCAGAATACGTATAGATGTCTCTGCTTATAACAGTCATAAATCACTTCTAAATATTAAAAATCAACGATGTAACATTAATGCATTACTATTTTATCGAAAGTGATCGAGATGCGCTAATTGCGTAATTCAAATTCTCGGACATTTAATTTTTTTCCAAAACACGTTATAGTCAATATACATGTATTATATGTCTCTGTTAATATGCATCCTTCTTTTAAAGTTTTGTTTTTCCTAAACACTTTAAGAACGTATCTCGGGGACACTGCTGAAAATAATCTTTCAAAAAGCAAATTTAAATTTCCATCTTTAAAACTTGTATACCACTCTGGGGCCGTGTCAATGAAAGTATCCTAAGACATGTCCTAAGATATGTCTTAGGACATTGTTTAGGGTGGTCTTAGGACGTGTCTGAGACATGTCTTAGGATGTAAAACAAAGCTATCTTAGGACAGTCCTAACTACGATGGTCCTAAGACCATCCTAACATATTTATTTAATTAATAAAATATGAAGTGAATGAAATGAAATATTTTTATGCATTTCTGTATATATTTAAAGGTTTTTTGTTGGTGTTTTTTAGGGGAGGGAGGGGTCTCATCTGTAATGAAAAAAAAACACAAAATAAAGGTTTTAACATATAATAATAGAAACATAATATAAACTGTTAAAATGAAAGAATAAAATTCTTTAAACGATTAAATTAATTGTCTCAAAACTTTTTAGAGGCTATTGTCGTGCTGCAATTTAACTATATAAACTAGTTTTGTACTTAGGTCCAATCGATTTCAATTCGTATACTGAATCAACATGAGCAAGAAAAGATCTCCAAATTTTTCCGAAATCGAAATTCAAATTATGCTGGCCGAAGTTGAAAAACATAAAGGAATACTATTCAGCAAGCTGTCAAATGTTGCGACAAATAACATTAAGAAGAATACATGGGATGGTATTTGTACAAAGATGAATTCTTCAAATACCCACCACCAAAGAACAGTTAAAGAAATTCGAAAGAAATGGACAACATATATGAGCAACGCCAAAAAGAAAGTGGCACACAATAGACGAGAGGCAAGAAAGACAGGCGGAGGTCCTCCCCCAGAAGACATTTCCTCCATGGAAGATCAGGTAGTAGGAATTATTGGAGACACGCCTATAGATGGAATAGACGGAGGAGTAGATACAGCCTCTTTTAAAGAAACGTCGACGGATTTGTCGATGCCGTCATGTTCATCTTCAAGAAGGAGCTCCTACTCTTCAGCAGATGAATCAGGTAATTTGTTTATTTTCTTATAGTTCTTGTGTAAAACAGAGCGAAAAAAAGGGGGAGGAGGTGACGACATGATTGGTTCGACATGCCTGTCTTTGAACTTTCTCCGGTCGTGATGGGCTTGTAATGTTTGCCACTGGATGTGATCATCAATTAATCGAATTTTGGCTTGAAATACATTTATTTTTCCCGTTTTGAATGATTGTCCTTTTTAAGATTTGAAATATATTTAATAACCATCTGTTTTTGATTCAACTATTTGATAATACACTGAAAACTAAGAGATGTTGGTGTATATAGACCACAACGTCACACACACACACACACACACACAGTAATCGCCAAAATATGTCAATCAACGTTATTCTTTTCATGCATTTTGTCGATTCAAAAAATTGTCTTTATGAATTAGCTTAATGTTAAACATTCTATTTCAGAACCATCAATCAGCAGTGCTAGTAATAGAACTACGCCAACCAGAAATATTACCACCACTGCTTCGACCATGGACGATAGTGATTCTCAGCAGCTGATTCAAATTGAGAGAGGAAGGTTGAATATTGAAAAGGAAAGACTGCAGGTAGAAAAGGATACACTGAAATTGAAAGAAGAAAAGATGAGGCTGCTGAAGGAGAGACTTACCGTTGAAAAGGAAAGACTTCGCGTAGAAAAAGATAAGCTATATGTTGACCGCCAACGCCTTCAGCTGGAACAGGCCAAAGAACAGTTGCGTTTGGCCCAACTTGGTATCAGTTTGCATATTCCAGAAAACTCAGATCGAGCCAGTGATCACGAGTGATACATTGCTATTTCTATCATATTGATTAAATATACTTTTTGTCATAGTTCAATTTTGAATAATCATATAGTTATCATTTTAGTAAATAATTTACCTTATTTCCTTTGACAACTATAAGCTATACGTATACAATGATAATTTCCGTTGAAAACTATAAGTTTACAATGATAATCGCTATACTGGTTTGTTTTGTATACTCTTATTTGTCTTGGACATTTTCTTTTTCTTTTTTGCCATGTCTTTGTCAGTTTTATATTCGACTTGTGAGTTTGAGTGTCCCTTAAGAATCCTTTTCCTTTCTTTTAAACCTAAAAAATGTGAAATTCCTTTGTACCACCAAATGAAATTTTATTGGTTATATGTCTGTGAGATAGTCATCCAGGTATCAGAATACAAGAATACATGCAATGAACAACCCATTAGTGATTAAAAAAGAAGGATAAGAATATTTTTTTTATTAATTGTTGAATCTGTTATTAATCAATCTAGTACGAATAACTGCACCATCATTTTGGATACCAACATATTGCTGTCCACCAATGTTTCCATGATCTCTTGGATTATCGTTTCCTGGAGGCAATGGAATTCTATTGTCAATACACATGTTGTGTAGAACAACAACAGCTACTATAATGTCACAACATCTAACTGGGCTGTACAACAATGTTCCTGCAGTGGTATCGATACATCGGAACCGAGATTTCAACACTCCAAAACTCCTCTCAAATGCACATCTTGTTCTCATATGGCAACTGTTGTAACGTTGGTCTTGTCTTGTTGTTGGGTTTATGACTGGTGTTAGGAGCCAAGGTCGAAGTGGATATCCACTGTCCCCAAGAAGCCATCCACCGCTTATGTCTCCGTCTTCAAACATTTCACAAAGCCTTGAATTGCGCAATGCAAATGAGTCATGTGTACTACCAGGCCACTTTGCCACAATGTTTAAAAACTTCAAGTTTGAGTCACAAACTCCCATTACATTAAGCGAGTGGTACTTTTTTCTGTTTACGTACAAGTGTTCATCAACAGCTGGGCTTTTGATACGCACACGAGTACCATCAACAGCACCAATAACATTTGGAAAATTTGAAATGTCATAAAAACCTTGCTTTAAAGCTTGAAGAGATGCTTGATCTGTGGGCATCGAAATGTATTGATTGCATACATTTTTCAAACATTGTGTGACGTCACGTGTAATAGTAGAAACACTAGCTCTAGAAATACGATGGACATCAGCATTAACCAGTTGAAAGCTCCCAGTCGCATAAAATCTTAGGGCTGCCATTATTTGTAATGAGACAGGAAATGCATGGGAACTTTTAGTCGGCCTTGCGAGCTCATATTGGAACATTCCACAAAGTTCTAGAATCATTGGTCTTGAAAGTCTATATTTACGTACAATATCAGCATCGTCCAAATAGTCAAATGGATTGTCTCTGTCCCTAAACACTCTGTTTCGGCGAATATTATTCGCTCGCCGTCTTACATGAACATACACAGCGGCCATATTTGTTGTTTTTATTTCAACTTAGGACATCATAACTCTTAGGACTATCCTAAGACCATCCTAAGACACCTATTCATATATCCTAACTTTAGGACCAAATTTAGGACATATCTTAACTTAGGAGACTTTCGTTAACCTGACTTAGGACTAAGACGTGTCCTAAGACCATCCTAAGACACGTCCTAGTCCTAAGACCGCTTCGTTGACACGGCCCAGATAAATTTGACCACATGACAAGAAATACTACAATAAACATTGGTCACGCACGACATATTTCGATGTAAGACACGTGCCGTTACAATGTCATAGCCAGTTTTAACGCATCAGCGCACACAGGTTTGTCGAATAGGCCAGTTGATTGGAGGAACGTTACTGAAAACCACGCCTACCTTAAACTAATACCCAAGCAACCGCATTTGAAAAAAAAATTAAATCAAATATGGATAAGATTACAGAGATTTGGTAGCGTATTCAATATTTGAAAAAGTTTACACTCTTTATTCAAACTTAGAAGTTTAGAATATTCCCGTAAAGCAAGTTTCGCAATTTTACAATAAATTGTATGCATCATTGTCATCTATCTAGTGTGGAAAAAAACAAATTTGATAAAATTTGCAAATTAAAACTATTTCGAATTGTTCTCTATTCTTACAAAAAATCACCAGTAAGTATCTTAAATTAAAAAATCAAATAGTTCTTTGACCTGTATGCAATCGCAAGAATAATTCATTTTAGTCTTTAATCTAGATGCAAAAGACGACAATGATGCTTACATTTAAAACAGTCTACTCCAAATTTCATAGTGTATGCAGAGCTTGGCAGATACCCCATTACTGTGTCTGTAAAGTTGCGAATGATATAATTCTAGAGAAGACTTCTTAATGGAAAAGAAAGTAAAATTTGTGTTGTATTATACAAACTTGTGTTTTTATATTATAATGATAACGGAATAGAAACTAAGTGGATATCATATATAAAAAAAAATATTTTTGATAATTGCGGTATGATTATGTCCAATATATGGAATGCACAGTTTGCTGATAAATGTGTGTCAAAATGTATTGACCAAAAACTCAAAGACTAGTTTCAACAAGAATGCTTTGCTTTTGTTTCAGAATCGCATAAAACTTTATGCTATCGTATTTTTAAAAAGAGTTTACAATTTAAAAAAATACTTTTCATTTAACCTTACAAATTCATTTATACATAATGCAAATATAGATGTGGTAGTCACCACTTGCTGATTGAGTCTGGAAGGTGGCAGGGTTTACAGAGAGAACACAGAATCTGTCGTCTCTGTGACTCAAAGGACATTGGTGACGAGTACCATTACATTATGAATTGTGGAACATTTAAACTAGTAAGAAAAACATTTTTACCGAACTACTGTTGGTCAAACCCTAATATCTATAAATTTGAGCAACTGTTTAACTCATCAAATATTATAATATTAGAAATACTATATAAATTTATCAAAGTTATAAATGTGAAAGTCAGTCCTCCAACTTAATTTTATTGTATCGTTCACACATGCATGTAATAATTGTACCTTATAGTTATGTTTATGTATGTTCTCTATAGCTAGTAATTGAAGTTTTATGAGAAATAAAGTACATTGTATTCGTATTCCTTTAAACTATAAACTACATGAAGACAGCCTTAGGGTAAAATACAAGTGTATATACTACTATAAAGTATTTAATCCTCATCCGTCCTTGCAAATGCCAAACTCTGGATTCTCTTTGATATTTACCTGAGAGATCATAAAAGACAAATCTAACAAGACTTTCAAAAGTGTTTGCGAAAAATGAAACGAAATAAAAGATTGTTTTTGTAGACGAGTAACACATTGAATAGGAAATTTGACCGAGTGAATGAAATAAACTTTTTAAAAAAATCAGTGCACATCTTTCTAGTGGCGAAAAACACGCATATCGAATTACGTATATGAAAAAGAATAAGTATATTAATAATAATTATGATGTCAATTTCATAAATTCAAGGATTATAAATAGAAAACAATCTTAAACACGATTCGTGATTTCCCATGTATATAGATATAAAACAGATTTATAATTTTTATTCTTAAATTAAATTCTGAAATACACAGGCATGGCTCTGATCCTTGGCAATTCAGCGAACAATTTTAAATGAAATGCAGGATGTTTTTGATCGTAAACAAAGGTGAGAGATTCAAATTGTAAAATCACCTGCTGGACGTTAGAGTTTCTATCAATCATTCAATAATAATAAAAGACTTTTAAATGTAAAAGTATGATAGAAATACCTTTAATTTATTGTAATTACATAATTTTTTATTTTTTTTTATCAAATGAAATTTATGTTAAACTGCTCCAGACATGGTTATTAGTAACCGTCAGTCCATTGCGATATTTCATAGCTCTTTTACAAATTCCGAAAAATATAATAAAGGAAAAATTAATGTTCCCATGGGAAAAAATATATCTTCCCATGGGAAGAACTAATGTTCCCATAGGAAAAATAAATGTTCCCAAGGGAAAAAGGTGTTCCCATGGGGAGAAAACATAGTTCCCTTGGGAACAAAAATTCCCTAGGGAAATTTAGAATTTCCCATGGGAAGAAATTATCTACTAATCTTCCCATGGGAAATAGTAGTTCCGATGGGAACTTAAAATTTATATGGGAAAAGTACTTTTTCCGATGGGAACTTTAAATTTTCCCATGGGAACTTCTAATAATACCATGGGAATTTTTAAATTTCCCATTGGAAATGTACTTGTAATCAGCTGTGGTGAAAACAGTGACAATAGTGACATGTTGGGAAATATGGAGAAATTCATTTTTTTTAAATTATCTATCACTTGGCCTAAAAATATTTTTGATATCTTGTAAAACAACAAAGTCAGATTTGCCAATTCTGGAATGGCAAATTTGTCCCGAACAGTGTTAATTTATTTCCTCATACAGTTTTCAACTACATGTAACTTATGATCCTAATTCAAACTTCACTTAAACAACCCAGCCTTTTGAGACTTCTATTAATTTTTTGGACAATAACTTGTGTATACGTGTTTAGAAATCTTAAATAGAAAATGAATAAAAATCTTTTAACCAGTTTCAATGGGGAATAATTTAAACTAAGTTTGATTGAAAAAAAAAAAGATTTTCTTCGATATGCTGAATCTAAACATGCATTTAGATTTTTGATTTTGGTCCCATATTTTAAGTTGGTCCAAATTGGGGTCAACAATTTGGATTAAAAAAAATGAATGTATTTGGCAATTTGATATGCTGAAAATAATTGTGTATTTAGATTTTGGGCCTGTTTAATCGATTGGTTCATATAAAGAATCAAGAGGTTCAATATTAAATTTTGTTTGATTTCATTAAAAATTTTAAATGCTGAATATTAATCCAATAGATATAAGAAGATGTGGTATGAGTGCTAATAAGACAACTCTCCATCCAAGTCAAAATTTATAAAAGTAAACCATTATAGGTCAAAGTACGGCCTTCAACACGGATCATTGGCTCACACCAACCATGTATTTAGATTTTGGATATTGGACCATAACAGGTAAATGTCAAATTTCAAAATTTTACCTTCTTTCATTCATTCTGTGTCATATTTAATCACAATGGATGGCCTTCAGAGCTGTTTCAAGCTTGAATGGTGTGTGCATACTGTCCCGAACTGGATATAACCTCTGCTGTTGTATCTAGCTGACTCTGTGGATCATTTCAATTTATTTTGCAAGTTAATACAGTCATTCTCATTTAGATCGCAAGTCATCAGGCACTTGAATTTTAGTAGGAGAGGGACTTTTTTCTCTGGATTAACATTTTTTTATTTTTTTTTAGTGGAAGCAAACCTTTTTTATACCTGCTAGAAACCAATTGGTTTTTTTTTATTTATTTAAAACCCAAATTTGCAACAACAACAACAACTTGATTTGCCATTGCAAGCAATAGCGGATGTCACCCTTCCCCCATTGCCACTAAGCGGCAGCCATTTCGAAAATTTAAAACAGGGAATGCACATATGTGCATAGCTATACATCTTTCAGTACATTTTCAAAACATTTAGAGCATTTTTGATCATTTAAAATATTTTGACAAATTTTATTTTTTCACCTTTTTCAGTTTCCATGGTGATGGCAGCCATTCCAAAATTGCACTGAAACTCGAAAGTCAGGGTTCATTAATATAGTGAACCATCATTTAGATTGGTTCCTTTGGCTCTGAGAAAACTGGCGGACAAAATTAGGTGGAAGAAAAATAATAATAATAATAATAATAATAATAGGGAAAAAGAAACAGAGGAAAAGCAATATGTCACCCGACATTGTCGATCGGGTGACATAATAACAAATACATTATCAAAGAATACCAACAGAAAAGTAATTATTGACATTTATGTTAAATTCTCCTCAAACAAAAGATGAATATGATGAAAGGTTACTAAATTCCTTGGTTGTAATTAAAGATAAATAC